AGGCTTGGCTTTGTTTTGGGGTTTTGGGCTGACCTAGAGTCCCTCTGCTCAGGATCTGTCCTGAGCAAGGCAATGCAATTCTCTCAAGTGGTGTTCCCCAAGCTCAGTTGGATTGGTGAAGATGTACACTTCCATCGGACTACCCTACAACTCATATGCTCCACTTGCTTTTTTTTCCAATGATAAAGCCAGTTGTAGTGCCGGTTTGAAGTCCAGTTGGTCTTCAGCTAGAAGGCATTTTTGCATGATTACATCATTAATCCTGTGTACCAAGTGGTATCTCAGCATCTCATTAAGGATTAAACCAAAGCCAGTACCTCTGCCAGCCATCTTAACCTAGTCAAAAATCATGATGCAGATTGCCTTGGTTCTCAGATTGCTGACTATAACCAATAGTGTCTCAGAACTACAGGAAGCTTGGGGTTATAATGTTCCTTAACTAAATCTTGAAATGCTTTAGTATCTAGTCCCTCCGGGAAAGTCAGGTTCCTACTAACTGAAAAAGCTGTGGGTCCACAAGCTGTCAGGAGAATTACGCATTGCTTTTCAACTGCCCCAATGTAATTTACCGGGAAAAAAAATGCGTTATTTCCACATACAGCAGAATCAAACGAGTCAAACTTCTCACGTAACAACATGTTGCCAGAAATGCTTATTCCCAACTCAAAGACGTTTGAGCAAGCAGATTTCTTCAGGAGCATGCATTTCGCTCATTGCCATTTAAATAACTCCATGAGGCTGGTATCCCGTCACCAAGTCACCCTTTATTTACACCTTGACACAGATCCATTTTTCTCAGAGCCAGCTCTCTGAGTGAGCAGGACCTCCAACACTCCTGTTTATATCTCTCAGCCAGGCTCCCTGATTGGAACAGATTGACAGCCCTAATCAGGGAATCTTATTCTGTGAAGTCCACCTGGCTGACCTTGTTACAATCACTGCACCTAGCTGATTGAAATCTACTTTCATTCCCCATCCTATCCCCTATCTTACGGTCAGAAGTGGGGAAGTTTACTAATGATTGCACAATGTTCAGCATCATTCAGGATTCCTCAGATACTGAAGCATTCTGTATACAACAAGACCTGAGCAACATTCAGGCTTTGGCTGATAAGTGGCAATTAACATTCATGCCGCACAAATGCCATGAAATGACCATTTCCAACAAGAGGGAATCTGACCATCGCCCTTGATGTTCTATGCCACTACCATTGTTGGATCGCCTGCTTCACCATTGATCAGAATCTGAACTGAATCAGCCATTTAAATGCTATGGCTACAAGAGCAGGTCAGAGACTGGGAATTCTGTCCCTCTCTCTCCCTAAAGCCTATTGACCATTTACAAGGCACAAGTCAGGAATGTGATGGAATACTCGTATTTTGTCTGGATGAGTGCAGCTCCTCAAGAAGCTTGACACCTTCCAGGACAAAGCAACCCACTTGACTGGCGCCACAACCACTACCTTCAGCATTCAGACCCTTCACCACTGAAGCACAGTGTCTATAATGTGTACCATCTATGAGGCTTCTTTGACAACACATTCTAAAACCACAACCTCTACCACCAAGAAGGACAAGGGAAGCAGATGCTTGAGAGCACCCACTATGTGCAAGTTCTTCTCTAGATCATGCGCCATTCTGGCCATCACCTTTCTGTAATTGTTGCTGGGTCAAAATGTTGGAACTCTCTTGTAACAGCATGACATGTGTCCCTGCATTCCAAAAACTGCAGTAGTTAATGAAGATTGCTCACCCCAATTTTGTACATGGCAATTAGGGATAGACAATAAATACTGGCCTACTTAGCAATGCCCACATCCCACGAATGAATATAACATCAACCTAGATTCCAGTTTCTTCTTGCCTTCACTAATTTTAGCTTTTTATCATTTTAGAAAGTACACTTCCATTCTTTTTACTTCCAAAATGGATGACCTTGCATTTAGCTGTATGCAAACCTATTGACCAGTTTTTGCCCTTACTTAAATCAATATATTTGTCACTTATGCTTTTCTCTATATGTTTACAATACAGCCTGTCATTGTATCATTGCCAAATATAGATATATGGCGTTCTATCCCATGATAACAAATTAGTAGGTAGTTGGGACACCACTAGTCACATTTGTACATTGGAGTATCTATACATTTTTTTTACTCTGTCTTGGACCACTGAACCAATGTGCCACACAGGTCAGCAGTTAGCAGTAAGTAATTCGGAAGGTAGATGGAATTTTGACCTTTAATGCTAGAAGATTGGAGTTCAAAAATAGGGAAGTGCTGTTACAACTGTAGAGGTGTGCTGGGGAGGCTGCACCAGGAGTACTGTGTACTGTTTTGTCCCAGTATTAAAGAATGGATATACTGGCATTGGAGGCAGTTCAGTGAGATTTGCTAAACTGATTCCTGGGATGAAGAGGTTGACTTATCAAGGATGGTTAAACAGATTAGGCCTTTATTCATTACACTTTAGAAGAATGAGGGATGATCTTATGGAAATGTATGTGATTCTGAGGAGGTTTGGTAGGAAATGTTGAGAAGATCTTTCCACTAAAGGGGGAGTTTCTAACTAGTGGACATAATCACAGAATAAGGGACTACTAAGTTAAAACTGAGATGCAAAAGAATTTCTTCTCCCAGAGGGTAGAGAATATTTGAAATTCTTTACCTCTGAGAATTGTGGAGGCTACAACACTAACAGTATTTAGAGAGGAGATAGTTAGATTTTTGAAATATTAGGGAGTTGAGGCCATGAGGAGCTGGAACTAAAGAGAAGTTGAGAGCTGGGGTAGATCAGCCATGATTTTGTTGAATGGTCAGGAAGTCTTGAGGGGCTGTCTGGCCTCCTCCTCTTCTCATTTCTTGTGTCCTTGGGATATAATAATTTAGTTCCAATTCTATGACCTTCAGCAGTTTGTTTTAACAGACTTCAGCAAATACCTCTAGAAAACCATATTAGCAGTATTGGTCTGCATTTAAATAAAGACAAAGTACAGTGGATGCTGCAAACACAGAATGATTGAAAAACTCGGCAGGTCTGGCAGCAATTGTGGAGAGAGATACAGGCTTACTGTTTTGAGTCTGATATGACTCTTCTTTAGAATCCTGATTGGTTGACATTTTCTCATCTAGTTTAGTTAACTCTTCAAAAACTGTGGTAAAATTTGTCTATTTCAAATCCATGTAGACTATGTGTCCAGTTGAAAATTTTCAAGGTAATATTGAATATTAAGAAGGGGCGGTGCCAGAAGACTGTTCACAACCTTGATATAATATTTGATCTCAAGGTGACCTTCCAACACACATCCGTAGCATCATTAAGACTGTTTTTAGCTATCACCTGACATTACCCTCGCCTCAGCTCATTTGTTGCTGAAAATTTTATCCATACTTTTGTTGTCCCTAGATTTTTACTATTTTAGTACACCCGGCCAACTCCTATACTCTCTCCTAAAAAAAAAACTCATCTATTTACATATGAGCTTGTACCATTTTTCCTTCCCTGTTCTATTTGACCTGTATTAGCTCCCACTGTAGCAATCCATTATCTTTAAAATTCTAATCATAGTTTTCAGATTCCTCCATGACGTTGCCTTTCCCTTTCCCTGTAATCTCCATCAATTCAACAAACAGTGACATTCTAATTTTGGTCTTTTGAGCAATCCTGATTTTAATCACTCCATCATTGCTGCTTGTGCCTTCAGCTGACTGAGGCTCATGTTGTTGGATTCTGTCCCAAAACTATCTGCCTTTCTCCTCTCTTTCATCTTTAAGGAGCTATTCGACCTTGCTTGTTTGATCATATGTTTGGTCACCTGCCCCAGTATCTCTTTATGTGACCTGCTGTCAAATTTTGTAGTAGTGTTGCCTTGTGAAGAACATTTTATTGTGCTCAGGGCACTGTATAAATAAGTTATTTTTGTAGTTGTTTAGTTGGGGATTGGTGTCAGCATGCCATAAGACAATATGAATGCTGACGACCATTTGGCCATTAACTAATCCATCTAGTAAGGCTCTCAATTATAGCTTAATTATGGGGCACAAATATGAGAAATTTTTCAGATTTTTACAGAGTATTAAGTAAACAGTGTAAAAAGTTGAGGCTACAATTTACTGCAAAACCTGTCCTCTCAGATCTTTCTATATAGTTTAATTATTAAACTGCTCCATAAAGACAGAACAATCCATATGCACTAGTTTAAGGTCCAAACTCTTTAAAAAAAAAAGTCATATTATAATATATAATAATCATACACCTTACATCACAGATAATGTCATTATTTCAAACTCACTGATGGATATTAGTGGCCAATTACTTGCTAAATTTCATTTAGCTGTTGTGGTTGTTTAACAGTCTTAATCGTAGAAAATGTTTGAAAAAATACATATATAGTTATCTAAGTTCCTGTCATATCTTCTGAATTGTGGCCCCTCTGACTTTCTCCCACTGCTCTCCTATAATTTGCTGCTGATGGCGAAGCAGCACTTCCTGCCTCTCAGTACTCTTGTTCAGAACCCTTGATCAATATCTGGATTCAGGAGGGGAAGTGGGAAGTTGGAAGTTCAGCCAGAAAAAGATCAATGAGAGGGTCAACTAGAGGAGTTAGAGAGGTTGCAAGTCAGACCATTGGCAGCAAGAGGGAATATGTTCAATGTCTCAAATTTCTCTGCTCTCTAGTTACTGATTGCAGTTTTAAGTGTCTTTCTTCTAGCTTTAAGATTATACACCCATGTTTATCATTTTAAACATCGTAATTAAATTAAACATCAATCATTTGATCTCCAGTTTGATGGAACACAGGGCCTTGCTCAGATGGGAGACGGAAACGACTGTGTGAAGTGTGTAGTAACATCAAAAGAATTTCCAAGGCTGGCTCAAGTTGTGTGGTACAGCATCCTGAATGAGATTTTGGGGTCTCACAACAATGAGAACCCCAACTCTATTTCACCAAGGTGACTTTCCTCGGTTAATCACATCTTTCATGTTTTGATCTTCTCCAGGTCACTGAAGGTAAGCAGGATTTGGAAAAGGCCTTGCAACTATCTCGCAAGTGGAAGAAAGAGACCGTGTCATTTTCAGAATGGTTGGCAGCTACAGAAGATGAAGTGATTCAAAGATCATCTTCCAGTGGAATGCCTGTTAACTTAGATTCAGAGATCAAGTGGACCAGAGTGAGTATTTTTGTTTCTTTAGAATAAGGATTAAAAAGGTTTTGCATTTTGTCTTCACATGTTGGCACCTGGCTGTCATGACATGGAGCATCTCAGGCATAAATTGTAATTTACAGACTATTTTTCTAGGTGAAAATTCAAAAGCACTTTATCATTCTGAATACACATCAACCATGAACTAATAGAATGAAAGAACAGAGAAGAAAAAATGAATGTCCCTTCCTATTCTTAATGCTCTTGTCTCTTCTTGGTATGTGTTGTTCTTGGCAAAGGTTGGATGTTCAATCCAAAGGCATTGTGTGCCTACTTGGTACAGAATGAGAATGGGCAACTTTGAGATATGTTACAAAGTATTTAGATCATAAAAATAAACCATTTACCTTACATGTCTATGCTGGTGTTAATTCAGCATGCAAGTCTCATCCTGCTGCACGGTTGCCAAATGTTTCATTGCGGGGAGTTCTTTATGGAGTGCATTGCCCGTGAAAGCAGCCCACGAGGAACAGGATGAGGCCTTTCAGCCTCTCAAACCATGTGTGAAGATCATTTGAAGTAATACCTATGAAATAGTATTTGTTAAAAAGATTAAGAAGGTGATTTTTAGAAGTTTCATTCTGCTTCATTCTTCACCAAAAGTGACCTTAAAACTTTTCCTGAACATATTTATCCTCGCATGAAGGCACACAATACCATTTATCTTTCCACCTGTGATGTTCCCACTTGCCATATGTTACTGCGACCAGTTTATAAAGTTGCAGATAGTGCAAGAAACTAGGGCTCTAGTTCACATCAATAGAAGCTTGGTGTAGATGTAAATTAAGTGTGAAATTTTGTAGGTGATATGGCTGAAGGAAGAGTCACACAGGCAAACCTCAGTTATCAGATGGTGCCTTGCCATATTAAATTTAAATCTTTATCATCAGTCAATCCGGAGTACATTTTTAAAAAATTGTTCCTGTAATGTGACTGTTGCTAGCAAGGCCATCCTCAACTGCTTTTAGAAGGTGGTGATGAGATACAGCATCCCTTATAACATAGGTATATCCACACTGCTGTTAGGAATATGGCTTCAGTTTTTAACCAAGCAACAGTTAGGAAGGTACATGACTTGGATGAGAACTCATAGCTGGCATTGTTCCCATGTTTCTGCTAGCCTGGTCCTTCTAGATGGTAATGGTTATGGATTTGGAAGACTGAATATAAAGTTTTGGTTAGCTGTTTGTCTTAATCCAATCCTGACTTTCCTGATGAAAACACTTAACCGTTTATTTAATTACTATGAATTTATTTATTAAAAACAAGCAACTCTTTTTATAGCTAATTCTGAAAGAATTGGAGGTGAAGAAAACTGAACTAGGTGGTATAACTGAGAATAGTGCTGCACTTCAGAGTCTGATAGAAGGCAGCGATCAAGTTTTGGAGGATAACCTGTGCACACTGAACGCCAGTTGGAACAAGGTCAATGCTCTGACACAGGGGTGGTGTGACAAACTGCTGGTAAGTAATGTCACAGTATGTGTTTCATGGGTAATTTGCTACAGTCTTGTTAGGTTGCTGATAAATAATGCCATAGCAAGTGGTTGTTAGCTCACATCAGTTATTTTCAAGTGTCTACACCATGCATTGCACTGATACTAGAATGTTTAGACGAAAATTTGCACAACATTGATGCAATTACTGGAAACCATAAGTTCACCTATAGGGGCTCTTCTTAGATTGCCAGTCAGATAAGTACATGATTCAATTTGACTAATACCTATTACTATTGCAGACATTTTTTTCTGTAATTACTCAACTGCATCTGAACATTTGATAACAGCAAGCATTGAGATTCCTGCAATAATGTAATATTCACTGGTTGGAGCTGTTGATCACCTGATTGTTCACTGTAAATCTCTTTAATATCAGACTGATAGAGAGACAGAACCGAATTTATGTCAGTTAAGTGTATCGAAAAGGTTTAGTTTCATGATTCCTATTCTTTGGGAATAAACTAAGGTAAGTGAAACTCAAATTCAGAAGTTGCTCGAGCACCTAGGGTATTTACACATGTAATACACATCAAAGGTCATTCCAGGTGTACTTGTAACTTCAGAATTAGCAAGGTAAGAGCCATAAAATGGCAGATAGGCCTGTTTCAGAACAGAGGAATGGGAATATCTATTTAGCCCATTGAGCTGCTCATTTCTTCAATTCCACTTTTCTGCACTATCTTCACCCCTTAAGTTCCTTAGTCTTCATAAACCTATTAATTTCTGGTTTGAATGTGTCCAATGACTGAGCTTCCACAACCTCTGTTGTAGAGAATTCAGTCTTTATAAATTGAAGCCACCTATTGTTGTGTTCCCAACGTTACATACATATCTAATTTCAGGATTTGTAGTTTGCCCGACATTAGCACTCCAGTTTGGTGCTCTATAAACAATGCTCATTACAAATAATGTTTGTTGCCCCTTGCTGTTTATTAGCTCAACCCAAATTGATTTTAAATCTTGATCCTTCAATATAAGATTCTCTCTTAGTAATGTACTGATGTTGTCCTTGATGAGGAATGATACTCCTCCACCTTTTCCTTTTTGTCTACCCCTCCTAAATTCAGAATATCTTCCCGTTGCTTCAATTTTTGCATTCGAATCATTAACCTTAGTTTAAAATGCTATGTGTATTCCGATAGAGTGCCTTTAATTCAGCCTTTACTTACATTTTTCTCCATTTTGATCCTAGTTGATGCTTGCCATTACTTTGCGTGTCTTCTTTTTGTAATACTCCTGTATTACTTTTATTAGATTTGCTTCTGTTGAATCTGAGGTCCCTCTTAGGTTCAATACCTCCTTGCCAATCTGAGAGTAATCCTGAGACTACTCTTTAGATGTGCTGCTTTTCAACCTCTTGCCTAGCTGACTGGAATCTACTTTCACTCCTCCTTCCCATTCCATGACATTCCCCCTATCTTAAGGTCAGAAGTGGGGAATGATTGCACAGAGTTTGGCACTATTCAGGATTCCTCAAATACTGAAGCAGTCCATGTCCATATACAACAAGACCTGAGCAGCATTCAGGCTTTGGCTGATAAGTGGTAAATAACATTCATGCCACACAACTGCCATGAGATGACCATTTCCAACAAGAGAGAATCTGACAGTCTGTCTTGACGTCTATAGCATTAATATTGTTGGATCGCCTGCTTCGCCATTGATCAAAATCTGAACTGGATCAGCCACATAAATACTGTGGCTACTCTGCGGTGTATAAATCATCATTTCTTTCCCCAAAGCCTATCAACCATTTACAAGGCACAAGTCAAGAGTGTGATGGAATACTCCCCATTTGTCTGGATGAGTGCAGATCCAACAACACTCAAGCTTGACACCAACCAGGACAAAGCAACGCACTTGATTGGCACCACAATCACTACCTTCAACATTCAGACCCTTCACCACCAAACCAGTGTCTGTAATGTATACCATCTATAAGATGTCTGCAGTATCTAAGGAAGGTTCCTTCGACAAAACCTTCTAAACTCTCAACTTCAGGAGAACCAGAGAAGCAGATGCTTGGGAGTACCGCCATGTGCAAGATCTCCTCCAAGTCACATAGCATTCTGACTTGGAAATATATTACCATTCCTTTAGTGTTGCTGGGTCAAAATTTTGGACCATCCTTCCAAACTTCACCATGGGTCCCTACACCACATAGTCTGCAGTGTTTATGGAAATCAGCTCACCGCCACCTTCTGTGGAGAATTCAGGATGGGTATTAAATGCTGACCTTCCTGCAATGCCCATATCTATGAACAAATAAGAAAAGTTATAGAAAAGTGGGACATGCCACTATGTCCTTTTCCAATATGAACTTTAGAATTTCTTCCATAAATATTCTTTTTGCTTAATGGTCAGGTGTTGTGGAAAACTCTTATTGGTGTCTCAAAGCTTCAGGTCTTTGTAAAAGTAACCTCTTTGGATCATACCCATGCATATTTAATTCAAATATGGTAATTATTCATGTAATCATAGTGAAGCATTACTGTAAACTTGTCTCATAGTAAATACATTGTACTGTTACTATCTTAAATACTTTTCTCAAAATATATATTCTGTCAAACTCATATTACTTTCTGCATTATGATGGATAAAAGCACCTACGGAATTTTCACACTGGTATTCTGAATTGTTTTTGTAACATCTTCCTTTGTAGGATTATGAAAAACAAATGGAAGGCTTCGATCAAAATGTTGCACACATAAGCACCTGGCTGTATCAAACTGAAATTCTGTTAGATGAGATCGATAAGAAATCAGACAGTGAAAGAGAAGAAATACTTAAGGTAAAAGCGTAATAAAGGCGGCGGATTTCTCTACTGGGGGAGGTTTGCATCTTGAAGTGTTTCTCCAAGATATGTTCTTGCAGACAAATGCTGTTTGGTCATGTATTTCCTCCCTACATTACTATCTTGGTGTAAATTCTTTTTGTTTTGCAGTTTTATTTAGGCATGAGAAAATAACCTCCAATGAGACCTCATTGCATACATAAATGATTCTCTTGGTCAGAGAAACTATTGACACAAATGGGCCATGTTTTAGGGGGAGGTGGTGGCCTTGTGGTAATGTTATTAGACTAGTAATTGAGAATCCCATGCTAGTGTTCTGGGATATGGGTTCGAATCTCACCATGGTAGATGGTGAAATTTGAATTCAATAAGGAAGAAGTCTGGAATTTAAACCTTGCCTAATCGTAACCATGTAGCAACTATCCTAAAGATCTATCAGGATCACAAATGTTCTTCTTTTAGGGAAGAAATTATAAGATTCAGAGCATAAGTAGGCCATTTGGCCTATCAAGTCTCCTCCACCATTCAGTGTCAGAAGTAACACAGCTGGTTTATTAAAATTGTTTCAGAGATAGTAGGAACTACAGATGCTGGAGAATCTGAGATAACTAGGTGTAGAGCTGGATGAACACAGCTGGCCAAGCAGCATCAGAGGAGCAGGAAAGCTGACATTTCGGGTTTAGACCCTGAAGAAGGTTCTGAAGAAGGGTCTAGATCCGCCATGTCAACTTTCCTGCTCCTCTGATGCTGCTTGGCCTGCTGTGTTCATCCAGCTCTCGACCTTGTTATCTCAGGTTTATCAAAATCGCAAGCTTTTGGAGCACTGCTCTCTTACTTGATGAAGGAGCAGCGCTCTGAACGCTTGTGATTTTAATAAATCTGTTGGACTATTATGTGGTGTTGTGTGACTTCTGATTTTGTCCACCCCAGTTTAACACTGGCATCTCCACATCATGGCCACCATTCAATGACATGACTGATCTGATAATACTCAACTTCACTTTTGTGCCTTTCTCCATAATGCTTGATCCTCTCAATGATTAAAAATCTGTATATCTCAGCCATGAATATTCTTAATGACCCAGTCTTGACAGCTATCTGCAGTAAAGGATTCCGCAGATTCACTACGCTCTGAGAGAAGAAATTCCTCCTCACTTATTTTTTACCTCCTTTGCCTTAAGGGTGACTCCTTAATCTGAGATTATGTCTCCTGGTCCACAAGGGGAAACGACCTTTCTGCATCTACACTGTCAAGTCCCCTAAGAATCTTGTATGTTTCATAGAACATAGAACTTTTCAGCACAGGAGCGGAGCCTTCAGCGCATGATGTTGTGCCAAGTTAAACTAATCCCTTATGCCTGCCCTTGGTCAATATTCCTCGATTCCTTGCATATTCATGTGCTTATCTGTAAGCCTCTTAAATGCCCCTATTGTATCTGCCTCCTCCACCATCCTTGGCAGCGAGTTCCAGACTCCTACCACTCTCTGTGTAAAAAATTTTGCACCTCATATCTCCTTTGAACTTTCCTCCTTTTTATGTTAAATGCATGCCCCCTAGTTTTAGACATTTCAACTCTGGGGGGGCGAATGATTCTGACCTTCAACCCTATCTATGCATCTCATAATTTTATAGACTTCTATCAAATCTCCCTTCAGCCTCCGTTGCTCCAGAGAAACAACCCCGAGTTTTTCTAGCGTCTCCTTATAGTTTATACCCTGTAATCCAGGCAGTATCCTGGTAATCCTCTTCTCCACCCTCTCCAAAGCGTCCACATCCTTCCTGTAATGTGGTGACCAGAATTGAACGCAGTATTCTAAGAATGGCCTAACCACTGTATTATAAAGCTGTAACATGAAATTCTGACTCTTGAACTGAATTCCCTGACCAATCAAGGCAAGCATGCCATATACCTTCGTCACCACTGTATCTACTTACGTGGCTATGGACTTGAACCCTAAGGGTTTCAATAAGGTCACTTCCATTCTTCTAAATTCCAATGACTACAAGCCCAACCTAGTCAATCTCTCCATAACCAGGATCAAACTAGCGAACCTTCCCTGGACTGTCTCTATTGGCAATATTCTTTTCTTCAAATAAGAGGACCAAAATTGTTCACAGTATTTTGGTGTGGCCTAGTTAGTGCCTTATATAATTTTAGCAACACTTCCCTATTTTTATACTTTTGAATTAGAGATCAATATTCTAATTGCTTCCATGTTACCCCCTGAACCTGGAACCCTTTTGTCATTCATGCAGTAGGACCCCCAAATCTCTTTATGCTGCAACTTTCTGCAGTCTTTCATAATTTAAATAATATTCAGCTCTTCTTTTTCCTGCCAAAGTGCGTGACCTGATGTTTTCCCACATTAAGCCAAGTTTCTGTCCATTTAAGCTGACAATATTCTGTAGACTCTTTGTGTCATCCTCACTACTTGCCTTCTCACTTATTCTTGTGTCATCCACCCACTTGGCGATATTACATTCATGTTCCTCATCACTGATCCCTGTGACATTCCCTTAGTTGCAGGTTGCCATCCTGAAAATGGCCCCCTTATCCCAACTTCCTGTCTTCTATTAGTTTTCCAATCCTCTATCCATCTTATGTACTACCCCAACACTCTGGGCTCTTAGCTTAATAAGTAGCCTAATATGTGATATTTCATGAAATGCTTTTTGGAAGTCCTTGCCTAGTCTGGCCAACATATGATTCCAGAAACACAGCAATATAGTTGATTCTTAATTAGCGTCTGAAATGGCCTAAAAAGCCAGTCAGTTCAAGGGCAACTAGGGATAATCCGTGTCAGCGATGCCAACAATCCATGCAAGTATAAGGGGAGACTAAGAAAAGCCTAAACTACAAGTATTTGTATAGATTTCTTCTTAGCTTCAGCCTTTGTTAAAATGGATGTGGCCAGTCAGTAAATAGCCAGTGGGATAGTACCCCTCTGAATTAGGACTCTAACAGTCGGTTTTGCTGTCTTTCTGTAATCCTGTTTGTGTTTAGGTCCTTGTTAAACAATTGACTTATGATTTCTTTCCTCCTTTTTAAGTGTTAAGTTCAACATTATGGTTTCATATCAAGAAATGTTTTCCTGTGTCATGAGCCAGTTGAATAAACATGAGCAGCTTCAGCAATTTCATACACATTTAAAGCACAGGGGGAGACTATTTGGTCCACAGGTCCTTCCTGGCTGATAGGGTATCACTCACCATAATCCTGCTTCCCAGTTCTTGGTTGTAGCCTTGTAGATTGTGATTTATTCAACTGCATATCCGAGTACTTTTTAAATGTGTCCAGGGGTTCTCAATCTTTCAGATTCCCTATCAATCGGTGATTCCAGTTTCTCATCTGATCTCCTAGGTCATGATATAAATTTATTGCACTGATTATGGATCCCTCAACTTAGGGGATATACAGCCTTCCTATCTACTCCATCGAGACAGCTCATAATTTTACGGACATTAATTAAATCTCCCATCAAACCTCCTCTATTCCAGATACATAACCTCAGTCTTGCCTGATAACTGAAATTCTCCAGTCATAGACAACATCCTTGTGAATCTCTACTGTGCCCTCTCCTAATGAAATTAAATCTTTCCTATAATTTAGTTACCAGAATTGTTTTAAATAAGTCCAGCATAATTTCTTAATGCACACATTCTGCACATTGGTCATTAAAGCAAGTTTCCTGTATGCTTTTTTGACTACTGTGTCTTCCTGTCCTGCTACTTTTTGGGATCTGTGGACTTCACTTCAAGGTCCCTCTGTGTTTCTCTACATTTCTCAGTATAAACCAGTTACTGTGTATTCTCTTGCCTGGTTAGCCTTCTCAAAATAAGTTACTTGAGGAGGCGTTGGCCTAGTGGTATTATCGCTGGACTGTTAATACAGAGACTCCGATAATGTTCTGGGGACTTGGGTTCGAATCCCACCACGGCAGATGGTGGAATTTGAATTCAGTAAATATCTGGAACTAAGAGCCTAATGATGACCATGAATCCATTGTCAATTGTTGGAAAAACCCATCTGGTTCATTAATGTCCTTTAGAGAAGGAAACTGCCATCCTTACCTGGTCTGCCGTACACATGACTCCAGACCCACAGCAATGTGGTTGACTTGTAACTGCCCTCTGGGCAATGAATGCTGCCTAGCCAGTGATGCCCTCATCCCATTAATGAATAAAGAAAAAAACTTATCCAGACTGAACTCCATTTGCTGCTATAAGAGATAACAAGGTGTAGAGCTGGATGAACACAGCAGGCCAAGCAGCATCAGAGGAGCAGGAAGGCTGACGTTTCGGGCCTAGACCCTTCTTCAGAAACCCTATCTCAGATTGTCCAGCATCTGCAGTTCCTACTATCTCTGAATCCATTTGCTGCTGTTCTGATCACCTGATATCTTGTTGCAATCCACAGCTTTCTTCACCATTATCAAATATACAACCTTTTTAAGTATACTGTGCAGAACTTTTAATCATACTCTCTATATTAGGTCCAAAACATAATTATATGCCACAAAGCAAGTGACCTACAGCTAAGCTTTGTGAAACCAGAAAGGAAGCAGCCTTCCAGCCACAATAATACCCATTGCTTTTTGTCTCTAAACCAATTTTGGACCCAACTTGCCTCTTTGCCTTGGATCCAGTGGACTTTTTTGTGATTAGTTTTCCTTATCGAAAGCCTTGCCATAAACCCGAATCAAATCCAGTACCCCTATTAGCCGGCGTATAACCTTTCCTTGACAAACCTGTGTACCCTGTAAGTGAAGATTTATCTAACCCTAGTTTATTTCCAATAGTTTTCCCTTCGGCAAGAATAATCTGTTTATTCCCTTTTATTAATTTTTTAAACAACCTAATGTTAGCTGTCCTCTAGTTTCTTGTTTCACAAAAGTAGCCAGAGAGGATTCGGAAGTAATGGTCCAGTTAATTGTCTGCTTGATGGTAATGCTCGTGATGTTGGTGAGAGGGAATTGATGGTAGTGCTGTTCATGTTCAAGAGAATATTTTAGCATTCTCTTGTTGGAAACAGTCATTGCCTGGCACATGTGTGCTGAAAATATTATTTGCTATTTACAAACTAAAGCCTGAATGTTGTCCTGATCATGAAACATATGGCTGGGGAACTGATTCAGTTTCTGAGGAGTTGAAAATGATATTCAACACCGTGTAACTATAAGTGCCCATGGCAAGTTCAGATCTTATATTGGAGGGTAGGTCACTGATGAGGCAACTGAAGATGTTTAGGCCTACATCACTATTCTGAGGAACTCCTCCAGCAGAGTCTGGGATTGAGGTGATCAGTCCTCAAATGAGAATCTTCATTTCTGCTAGCTTTCATTCCAACTGCCAATGTGTTAAATTTGGTAGGGCTCCTTGATGCCATAATTGACTAAGTGTTATCTTAATATTGAGATAACTGCTCTAACCTCTCCAGTAGGCAAGAGACATACTCACATAAACCACCTACATATTTCTATAAATCTAAATAACCTTAGGAATAGAGTGCTATGACCGAAAAGTCGAACTTCATCTATTCACCCAGCTTAAGGTTGCTGAGTTTCTACTATGATCATTTGTCACCTTAAAGTGTATAATACGCATACTTGCAGTCTCTTCATGAAGAAGTTAGTAATCCAGTTTGTGGAACATATGCCATTCAATATAACTGACTAAATGTCTTAGTATTCCTTATCATTGCAGTGATTACTGAATATGCAAACAGGTTAATTAGGAACAGAATGCTGAATGCCCTCTGTGAGCTTTATCTGGGTGGGTTCTATCAATCTGTGTAGACACTCTTCAAAATTTAGATTATTGTAACTGTTGAAACTGTTTTCCAGCGTTTTCAATTTGAACTGGATGGAATCAGTTTGCAAGTTGATGATGTACGTGACCAAGCTGTTTCCCTCATGAAAAATAATGGTAGCATGTGCCGTGAAGTGGTGGAGCCAAAGCTCATTGAAATGAATCGCAATGTTGAGAGGGTTTCTCAGCACATCAAGTCAGCAAAAGTGAGTGGTTGTAAAAACACATTTTTCTGGCTGTTAACAATCTACAGAAATTCAGCAAATAGGGCAAATTTAGTTCTGTTGATGTTTTGAAATGTATTGTAATGTCAAATCGAGCACTGTCTGTTCAAGACTGTTCCTAATGTCTATTCATCAGATGAGATTAAATTTCTAGATTAAGTACTTGTTATTCAGCATACTATCCATTTGATATGATTATTGCAGAGGGCACTTAATGCCATGAAAAATAATTTGTGCCATTCTTTTCAAAACGCCAATTTTCTGACTTGACCGGAAGTTGCAAACTATAAGGTTGGGTCCAATCAGTTTCAAACAAACACTCCAGTGAATGTTCTAGACTGACTTCACAGGAAGCTGTGACTTCAGAAAACGTCTGACTGAAGCTGCTGGAATATGTCTTTTTGAAAAGTCAGTTCTATTCCGAGAACCCAGAGTGTTTGGTCAAGTTGTGTAACTTCAGACAGCAGTGTGTCCAAGTGACTCTTAGCCCTCAGCTATATTGTACCCTAATGAAATTACCTTTGATAATCATTAATCCTGTACTATTTCCAAGCTGTTTCAGAATTGTTGAGCATGGACCTTGCGCTGGATTGAACAAATATTTCAGGGCATGTACCTCCTCCGGTGTTGTGTACTGGGATAAGAATAGTCTTGAGAAAATTTGGGCTGCTTTGACAGATTGGGATCCTCATGAATTTGGAGTTATCTATTGGTACTCAACCTTTTACAGACTTGTTGTCATTAAGACAGTTGGAAATAGCCATTGTGAGGAGATGAAACTACTTGTGTACTCTAAGAAAGACAGACCTGAATGCATATAGTGCTTTCTGAATATTTTTAATCAACTTATTCAGACATATAATGGCACACCTCCAGAACAGGTGGGATTTGAACCCTGACCTTCTGGCCCACTTAGCACCTTTTATGACTAGGAGAAATCCCAAAGTGTTTTCCAGCCAATTAAACTGTTATGATCCCACAATGAACATAGCGAATGTTTAAAGAGAAATTCAAATACAGTGGTTTATTAAAAGATTGAAGCTGCAAGGTTCCACAATTACATAAACAAATGACTATTACTACATTACAATTATGTAAAACGAATACTACTAAATAAACACTGACTTAGGTACTTATTTGTATTTTACCTTGAAAACCACATCAAAACACAGCCATAGAAACTTTAGGCTAATATCCTCAACTGAGCCTTCCATTTTATGCTGATTTGGCTCTGAAATTCTTTGACGTACTTTTCAGGTTAGAACTATGGAGTCATACACTGAGAAGAGACCCTTTGATCCATCGAGTCTTTGCCAATCTATCTACTCTAACTCCACTTTCTTGGATTCAACATCAAGCTTGTTCTGCAACTGCCTTGTAAACTCAAACCTGATTTCACTGATAATTTCTGTGCAATGACTTAAAGATAAAACTAAAAACACCTTGATTTCTAATCACTCTACTCTGCTGTTTCCCTGATGTTTGCAGTTCCTGGCAAATACTTTCTTCTGCCTGCTGAACTTGGTGCTCACACCCGACAGCTTGTTTGCTTTTAGCTCTGACCTAGTACTCTTCTGCAAAAATCCCACGAACAACTTCACAGAATTCTAATGAACACTCCACCCTGTATCACTTATCTCTGTGGTAATAAAGGCTAGCTGGGATGCCTGATAGACATTTAAATTAATCTGGCTTTTAGCTTCAAAACAAAATCTCTTAATTCTGGTACCCTAATAAATGATCTATATCTGTAATGGAATTAGTTACCATCTCTCCAGACTTAATGTGTTTACAAAGGACTTCTACTTTCTTTGATTTGAGACTGCCTGACTCATGACATTTGTTAGTTTGTACCACACATAGTGAGCCATGATCTGATTAGGATGGCCACTATTCTGCAGCGTAGTTATGTGTGCTGTATTTCTGCATCAAGTTGCAGAGTGAGCAAATGGCTAGGGAACTCTATTGACAAGATTGCTGGGTGGAGCACTATAAACCTCAATGTGTCTGTTCATCAGTGAAGCCTGTAATTGCAAAACCCCAAATAAAACATTTGTTATTTGTGATTCTGCAGTTTGGAAGTGCTTGCAGAACACTCCTGACTGTTAGTAGATATGTTAACAATCACTTTAAGCTAATCAGCTAAGCTTGTAACGTAGCTGATTAACACTTGCTAGAAGTGACATACATTGATGCACAGTGACCTATTTTTTTGTAAACCAAAGGAATATATTCAAATATAACACAGTCTGGAGCTGGAGGAACATAGCAGGCCAGGCAGCATCAGAGGAACAGGAAAGCTGACGTTTTGGGTTGGGACCCTTCTTCAGAAATCTAATTTCTGAGGAAAGGTCCCAACCTGAAATGTCAGCTTTACTCCTCCTCTGATGCTGCCTGGCCTGCTGTGTTCCTCCAGCTCCACACTGTGTTATCTCTGACTCCAGCATCGGCAGTTCTTATTATATCTGAATATATTCAAAGTTGTGCCTTTTTCTAAATTCCCAGAAACTTCAGGAGCCTACAGGTCCTCATTGCTTTTGCTATGGCAACACCTCAGCCAATCAGAGTTGACTTAGACAATAAAAACAAGGAAGTGATGCTACACCCCTACAAATCATTGGTCAGACCATATTTGAAGTATTATGTTCAGTTCTGGGCATCTCATTTCAAGAAGGATGTTAAAGCCCTGGAGAGATTTCAAAGGTGATTTACTGGAATGATACCAGGAATGAAGGATTTTAGATGCAAAGAAATTTTGGAGAGATTGGATTTACTCTGCTTGTCCTTATTGAGGTGTTCAAAATTGTGAACAATTTTTACAGGGTAAAGAAGGATATTCTGTTTCCATTAGTTGGTATGTCAGTATCCAGGCATCACAATTTCAAGATTGTCAGCAAAAGAGAGGCAGCATGGTGGCTCAGTGGTTAGCGCTGCTGCCTCACACAGCACCAGGGACCCAGGTTCGAGGTGACTGTCTGTGTGGAGTTTGTACGTTCTCCCCGTCTCTGCGTGGGTTTTCTCCGAGTGTTCCAGTTTCCTCCCACTGTCCAAAGATATGCAAGTTAGGTGGGTTAGCTGTTTCAACAATTGCCAGACAGGGAATGTTCCCTGCCATTCTCCAATCTTCGGTTAAGCGTCCTCCAAGGTGGCCTTCGAGATACGCAATGGTGCAGAATCAAGGAGCAGAAACTGATAGCCAAATTCCATACCCATGAAAACTGAAAGAACTGCGGATGCTATAAATCAGGAACAAAAACAGAAGTTGCTGGAAAAGCTCAGCAGGTCTGGCAGCATCCGTGAAGAAAAAAATCAGAGTTAACGTTTTGGGTCTGGTGTCCAGTGAGTTCTGAGGAAGGGTCACCGGGCCCGAAATGTTAACTCTGATCTTTCTTCACAGGTGCTGCCTGACCTGCTGAGCTTTTCCAGCAACTTCTGTTTTTGTTCTGTACCCATGAAGATGGCCTCAACTGTGATCTTGGGTTCGTGTCTCAGTACATATAACCCCACCATACTGTTCTGTATTTGTAAAGTCTTCCTTACTGTCTTGTTCTGACACAATCACCTTGATAACTTATGATTTCTGTACGTTAATTGTTTTATACAATTTTGGATAGCATGCTACTTTGATTAGACCCTCAGCATGTGACACTTATACCTATCATGTTATTCCAGCCATTTGGTTTGTGTCCAGCATCATCTTACTTTTAATTTTTTTGTAATTATATCTCTGCCTCAACTAATCAGATTATAAGTCATCCCTTTGCTTGCTAGTCAGCTGTTGGCACTTCGCTCACAATGTCTGACACTTTTGACCGCTTGCGGGGACTTATTATTCAGCCTGTGGACATTCCACTCACCCCATTTGTATGATCTTTTGATTTCACTGCCAATAAATTCTGTGCCTGTGTGCCACTCTTCACTTCACCTGGCGAAGGAGCTGTGCTCTGAACGTTTGTGATTCCAAATAAACCTATTGGACTATAAGCTGGTGTTGTGTGACTTCTGATCTTGATTTGTAGAGTCTTGGTGTTTCTGAATAGCTCGGATGCATCAGTCTAAGCTATTGCTTTCTAGATTGAACTTAAACCCATTGTGCATTGGAAATTAGCATTTTGCATTGTTGATAGTATTTAATGCCTTAAGAGAAAAAAGGAATGTGCGGAATGGATGGGGTTGGAATTGAAGGCTGTGATTATGATGAATAGTGGAGCAGGCTTGACAGATGTCTGGTTTATTCTTTCTTCTGTAGCTTGTGTTCCTGTTTGTTTAACCTTGTTGCCTTTCCTTGATGGAATTCGGTTGTGATATTTCCTCCCTCATCGTCATGAGAACTTCTTCATTCCTCAGGTTTTCTCTCCATTGGTCCTATTCCACTCTTTGCACAAATACATTTTGCAACTTTTTTTGCTTTTGGATGTCTGCTTGTCAGGGACCATGTTTCAGCCCTGTACAAAAAGTCCTCCAAATCACAAACATGATCATGGTTTTCTTGACATTCTAATCATTTCAACACTTAGCAATTTGGAGAATGCATTCTTTGCCATTGCTATTCTAGTTGTGATTCTTTGTGGCAGATACCATCTCCTGACAAGATACTTTCCAGATACTTAAATTGTAATAACTTTTTCAAATGTTGAATATCATTTTTCCCAACATTACTGCTTCCACTCTTCATAACTTTCATCTTTCTTACATTAGTTCTCATTCCATTTGCTTTCATTACTTCATTCATGCTATCCATTGGTGTCTGTGCAACTTGTAATGTACTGTGTATTAGGACCAGTTCGTCTGCAAATCTGACAACCTTCACCAATTGATGTCCTGCTTTCACACCTGTCAGTTCTTTATCTAGTGTTTCTTTTATCATGCTTGCCCATTAATGTTCAAGAGCAACGATGATAGTAATTATCGTTTCATCAATGACAAAATTTATCTCCACTTACTTTGAACACATCAAACAATATTTATAATGCATAATTTCAATATAGATTGAATGTGAATAACAAATTTGTATATGTGACTCTAGATGAAGGCAGCAATTAAAGAACCTGAACATTACGAAAATGGGTCAAGCCCAGATATGAATACCAACCAGGTTTCATCCATCAATCTAGATCACTTTGAAGCTGAGCTTCAAAACAAGATAGAAGACTTAGAGAGAAGGTTACAGTGTAGTGAGGAGATTCAAGATGATGATGAAAAGGTAAAATATAGTGAATTGTTGAATTTTTATATATTACAGTATCATTGGAGATTATGTTAAATATCTAATCATGTTCAAAACACATTGTGATACAGATACACTTGATGCATAAATATATGAAAATACTGTTGAGCATTTAAAGCTGCTCTGTATTGTGTGTTTCTTTGGGAAAGCACTGCTTGCTGTAAGCCTTTGTTTAATTCTCTTGACTGTCCTTCAAAGCCTTAGGTTCTTCTTTCTTACTGTGTTGAAGTCCCTCAGAAATTCATCTGCATTTAAGATATTATATAAAATGTGATTTTACATGTTTTGTCCTTGTTCTGTTTACGTTTGAATCTAAGCACAAAAACACTTTTCTGATTCCAGGTTGTATATGTGAATGTGGGATTTTTTAGTGTGCCTGTATTCAAGTGGGCACATATAAACATGCTCCTGTGGGCTTGAGTGGATGGTTGGGCATATGTATGTCTACTTCTGTGTGTGGTGACATGTATGTTGGTGCGTGATCTGTCTATTTAAAAATGTACTTTTTTAGGTGGATGAAGAAGAAGCAGATGTGGAGCAGATGCTACAAGAAGGAGAGCGACTGCTGCAACTGACTGATGATGATAGAAGACAGAAACAAATCAGCAAAAAGCTGATTCTATTACAGACAAAGCATGCCTCTGTTAAGGTACGTGTCATTGGAGTGTGTAGAATAGCGTGTAGCCCAGGTGTTAATCACGATATTATCTGTGGCTAGAGATTGATCTTTGTACGCAGTTCTGAAGTTGCTGTTATGTAATCTGATCATTAAGAGATTTTTCTTTATCTACTCGGGATGAACTCAATTAGGGTTGAAGACCTATGTGTTTGCTCTGGCACTTAGGCAACAAAGTTAATGCAGAAGGAGCAAGTAGGAGGGCTTACACCTAGGTGGTACCAGTACAAGAGAGAGGAAGACCAGTTCCTACAGTGGCTTGATGACATTGAGCAGCAACTGTTGAACGCTTCCAGCTCAGAAGACCAGAAGAAATTACAGGTAAAAATTAAGCTCCTTTTAATTAATTTTTCTTGTTTTATTTTAATTCACTAACAGATGTGGGCCCAGCATTTATTGCCCATCCCTAGTTGCCCTTGACAAGGTGATGGTGAGCTACCTTCTAGAATTGCTGCGGTCCAGTTGGTGGCATCTGCAATGCCATTAGAGAGGGGGTTCCAGGATTTTGACCCAGCAATGTAGAAGGAACGGCAATTTATTTCTAAGTCAGGATGGTGATAGTTTAGAGGGATCTGGCGTACAGTGGTGTACTAATATATTGTTTGGCTTTGTCCTTCTAGATGGTAACGATCATGGGTTTGCTATCTAAAGAACTTTGGTGAATTTCTGCAGTGCATCTTGCAGATGCTATTGAGCATCGTTGGCAGAGGGGGAGTTAATGTTTGTGGATGTGGTGCCAAGCAAGTGGGCTGCTTCCTCTTGGATGGTGTCAAGTTAGTTAAGTGTTGTTGGAGTGCACTCATCAGGGAAGTGGGGAAAATTCTACCATGCTCCTGACTTGTGCCTTGCAAATTGTGGATAGGATCTGGGGAGTTAGGAAGTGACTTACTCACTGCAGCATTCCTAACCACTGACCTGCTCTTGCAGCCACAGTTTTATATGGCTGGTGCAGTTCATTTTCTGGTCAATTTAACCTGCATGGTGCTGATCGTCAGGGATTCAGTGATGATAATGCCATTGAATGTTGAGGGGCGATTATTCGATTCTCTTGTTGGAGATGCTAATTACCTGGCATTTGTTTGGCATAAACGTTATTTGCTGCTTGTCAGCCCAAACCTGGATGTCGTCCAGGTCTTGCTGCGTTTGGACATGGACTGTCTCAGATTCTGAGGAGCCGGAAGTGGTGCTGAACGTTGTGCAATCATCAATGAACATCCCACTTCTGATCTTATGATGGAGGGGAAAGTCATTGATAGAACAGTCGAAATGTGTCGGCCTGGAACACTAACCTGAAGAACATATTGTGTCAACTGTGGCCTTGATGTCAAGGGCAATCCCTCTCACCTCATCTCTGGAGTGTAACTCTTTTATCCAGGTTTGAAACAAAATTTTAATGAAGTCAGGAGCTAAGTGGCCTTGATGGAAATGATTAATCGGGTGCTGCTTGGTACACTGTTGTTGACAACATGCACCATTTTGCTGTTGACTGAGAGTAGATTGATAGGACAGGACTTTACTGGGCAATTTTCCACATTTATGGTGTAGATGCCAGTGTTGTACCTTTGTTCTTTGTGATTTCTTTAAATTAATACAGGATATTTGCTCTTCACAAATACTGTGGAGGTTTTCGATCGATGTTAATTAGGACTTGAAGCATCATTCTAGTATTTGGCTTTTTGTGAATAGACTAAAGGCAGTAATATTGTTGCGTGAGTTAAAGTACAAGATAATCCAAGGATGTTGACTCAAAATTTGATTTCTTTTTCAGGAACTGACCCAAGAGTTTGAACAACGAAGGGAAGACTTCAGTGTCTTAACAAAGAAGGGCCAAGATCTAACACGGTATCGTACCTCTTCACAGCAAGACCCCATCAATGTGGAAAAGCGCTGGCATCAGATAGAAGCTCTGTTTTCCAATTATCAAACACACCCTTTCAAAAGTCCAGTAAGTTTGTTTACTTAAATTGTATGAATTCAAGATTGTACAGCAAAGTTTATTTTATAAACACAAACTCAGCATGTGCTGCAGCATGTGTGGAGAGAGAAAGGGTTAAAATTTCGAGACTGGTGTGTCTCCTTTTCGGAGCAGAAGGGGAATGGAAAATGAAGGTTTTTATGTTGTTGCCAGATTGGGTGGAGGAGTGAACGGAACAGATGGTGAAGATATGTACAGCAAAAGGCAAAGGGAATGCTAATGGTAATAATAACGTTATTGATGGGGAATAGATGATAATAGCACAAACAAGAAATGGGATAAATTAAAATGGAAGACTAAGTTCATTGTCTGAAGTTGTTGAAATTGTGCCTAATTTATTTTAAAATGTATAAATTGTCATCACTTGCACTGAAACTTTTAGGGGTATTTCACTGCTTTTCTGAGGTAACTATCAGTTTGCAAAATAGGTAGCATCACTGACTGAGATATCCAAAATTTAGTGATTTCTGATTATTACTTTGTTGAAGTCAACTTCATTCTGCTGTCTCTGTCTTCAGGAAGCGCAAGTTATCACTGCTCATTATACCACCAGTGCAGGGATGACATCACAGTATTTCCCATCGGATTATCTTCTGGATGTAAACAAGGCATTGCTTGCTCTAGCTGATGTTGAACTAGTATTGAATGCACCAGAATTGAATAATGGAAAATATGAGGATTTCTCAAGCCAGGAAGATTCCTTAAAGGTGCGTTGGATGTACTGGAAAAGTATTGATACTTGATTCGTGAATAAGTAACATGATGAAGTTAATACCACCAAGTAATGAACTAGCACATTGAGACAGATGTCTGTTAAATAACATATTTTTAGCAGGCTAATACTGCCCTGAATTATAAAATATATTGTGTGACACATGCTATAACAGCTCTGGTGTAAAACTGCATTATGCAGACAACTGAGCAGTGCTATGAGGTTATTCACTAGATTACTGCAATTCATTTTCTAAATATTTTTCTGGTGGATTAACGAGTTTTGTATCCTTGGAGAAGTTATAAAGTTACAGCCATTCAGCCCATTATCGACTGCAGTAATCCAATTTTTCCAGCTGTTGGCCTGTGGTTCTGGAGGCAATGGTGACACAAGTGAATATCTAATTACTGCTCAAGTTTTACAAGTGTTTCTGACTCAACTACCCTTTCGGGCAGTGTTTTAGACTCCTGCCTCTGGATAAGAAAGTATTCTCCTCAAATCTTCTCTTAGATTTAAGAAAAGGGATAGAAGACTGTTATTGTCTAGTCCCTCCTTGAAACAAGTTAAACAACTCCAGCACGAATGTTATGAATGGAATTGCCCAGGTGTTCCATAATACTGAAGCAGCCAAATTGCTAAACACAAGCCAGTACCACTGCAAATAGAAACTGAAATTGTGCTAGCAAATTTCTGCAGATCTGGCAGAATCTGTGGAGAGAAATCAGAGTTAATGTCTGGGTCCAGTGGCCCATCAGAACTGATGGTGGCTCGGCAAAGCATGGTTATTACGTGGAAGTTAGAATGGAGGAGAGGAGAGGAGTAAACGATAGGTGGAGGTAGAGCCCAAAGAGAGAGAAGAAGAATTGGACAGACAAAGGAATGGATAAAGATCAGCCTAGCAAAATGAATAGCTGAGATAACAAGGTGTAGAGCTGGATGAACACAGCAGGCCAAGCAGAAAAGGGGTCTAGGCCCGAAACGTCAGAATTCCTGCTCCTCTGATGCTGCTTGGCCTGCTGTGTTCATCCAGCTCTACACCTTGTTATCTCAGATTCTCCAGTATCTGCAGTTCCTACTATCTCTAGAATGAATAGCTGAATGGGGACTATTAGTACTTCCCAAGTCTGTTGTAGTTTTACATAGTCGCTCTCTCTCTGTCTGTGGGACCGCAAAGCTGTTTTCTCTCTTTCTCTGCCCTCTCTCTCTTTCTGATGGTCTGCTAGTCTCTGCCTTTTGCTGTGCTCGTCTTCTTGGAAGGCCTGTAGAATGTCCAAGGTCTGTAGGTGAACTTTGTTTTTATACCTTCTTGGATAGTTTTCTGGAACTTTCTATAGTTCTGGCCAATCAGGAAGACTCGCTTAATAGTTTGAAACATGTGAATCATTTGGATGGCTTGCTACTGTTCGCTCCTTTGTGTAGCAGGACCCGGTGCCTTTCTGTCTGGGCCCTCCTTTGTTTAGTGGATAAACTGTAGAGAGTACGTCTGTCCAGGATAACGCTTACCTTTTACATTGTGCTAATGTTGTTAGCACCTGGCTGCTGTGTTTATACTGTCTGTGTTTTTTCACTTCAGCGTTTTACTTGGCCAACATACCCAGCATTCAGGGATATACAAGGTGTATATCAGAAGGGTCTAGGCCCGAAACGTCAGCCTTCCTGCTCCTCTGATGCTGCTTGGCCTGCTGTGTTCATCCAGCTCTACACCTTGTATATCTCAGATTCTCCAGCATCTGCAGTTCCTACCATCTCTAACACATACCCAGCATTCATCCTGTTTGGCTACCTTAGCAATCTATCTGTGTTTTAACGCCAGGAGGCTGCTACCTCGTTATTGACCTCTCTGCTAATGGAAGACATTCATTCTTATTCACCATGCTATAAAGTAAACAACCATAGTATGGAACCTAAATGAAAATTATATCAAGTTTTTAAAATTTTTGTTTCATGATTTGGAATAGCTGTTTTGGAAGATAAGAAAATCTCTATTCAAGTTTCTGGTTTTTTTTTAATACACTGGAAGTTAAAATTGCACTATATCAGATTTGATAACGAGCAACCTGAGCTATATGATGTGCAAAGTAAAGTTTCCTGAATAAAGCTTGGGTGAGTTGAGAACTCTCCCTTCCCCCTCACAAATCCGACCCCCAGAAAAACAGCAATGGGGAAAATAAACATTCAGAGACTATATCTGAAGAAACAAGTTGGAGAGGGGAGAAGATAATACCCACACACAGATGAAAGGAAGGATAAATGGAGTTGATGAAAGTTGAAGGACTGAGCTGCATTCAAAAGAGAGATAACAAGGTGTAGAGCTGGATGAACACAGCAGGCCAAGCAGCATCAGAGGAGCAGGAAGGCTGACGTTTCGGGGGAAATGGGGGAGGGGAAGGGGGTTCTGAAATAAATAGGGAGAGAGGGGGAGGCGGATAGAAGATGGATAGAGGAGAGGATAGGTGGAGAGGAAACAGACAGATCAAAGAGGCGGGGATGGAGCCAGTAAAGGTGAGTGTAGGTGGGGTGGTAGGGAGGAGATAGGTCAGTCCAGGGAGGACGGACAGGTCAAGGGGGCGAGATGAGGTTAGTAGGTAGGAAATGGGGGTGCGGCTTGAGGTGGGAGGAGGGGATAGGTGGGAGGAAAAACAGGTTAGGGAGGCAGGGATGAGCTGGACTGGTTTTGGGATGCGGTAGGGGGAGGGGAGATTTTGAAACTTGTGAAATCCACATTGATACCATTGGGCTGCGGGGTTCCCAAGAGGAATATGAGTTGCTGTTCCTGCAACCTTCGGGTGGCATCATTGTAGCACTGCAGGAGGCCCGGGATGGACATGTCATCTGAGGAATGGGAGGGGGAGTTGAAACGGTTCGCGACTGGGATGTGCAGTTGTTTATTGCGAACCGAGCGTAGGTGTTCTGCAAAGCGGTCCCCAAGCCTCCGCTTGGTTTCCCCGATGTAGAGGAGGGCACAACGGGTACAGAGGATGCAGTATACCACATTAGCAGATGTGCAGGTGAACATCTGCTTGTGTTTTAATTTGAAACACCTTGATTTGCATTCTCAATTTTAAAACAGCTGGATTGTTTCTCATTGATAAGATCAACCTTTTTCAGATGAGCTGGCTTTTAACGTGACTAATTGTCAACCCCAGTCCTGTTGAAAGCAGCCAAAGAAACACAATTTTTAGTTGAAGCTCCTAGTCAAAAGTTAAAAGAGTGATTTTTACCTCACTTACTTCGACATTGGGTTATTTTTATTGAACCTGTAATGTGTGTACTGTGGTCATTAATTGCACAATCAATTTTTAAGACAGAATAAAAACTGAAAGAACTGCAGATGCTGTAGATCAGGAACAAAAATAGAAGTTGCTGGAAAAACTCAGCAGGTCTGGCAGCATCTGTGAAGAAAAATCAGAGTTAACATTTTGGACCCGGTGACCCTTCCTCAGAACAGAGCTTTTCCAGCAACTTCTGTTTTTGTTCCAATTTTGAAGACAGTCTTGGAATGGGTAATTACAGTGTGATGATGGATTGCGTTTTAATGAAGCTATGCACTGTTATTTGCAATTTAGCTCATCAGAGTGGTGAATACAATAAGATTCCATTGGGACAGGTGATTGGCTGTTGACTGATGTCAGAATAGAAGTGACCTTGAGTGAAAACATTTATCCTAAGATCATAAGACCTTCCAGTTAGTTGTACATTCAGGGTTAATGTCTTTCAGAAAATTCAGTATGTTTTATACCGGATAATCTTAATGCAGTGACAGCTGAAAGATACTTTGTTCTAAGTATCTGAGACAACAGGGTGTAGAGCTGGATGACCAAACAACTGCACCTCCCAGTCGCGAACCATTGCAACTACCCCTCCCATTCCTCAGACGACATGTCCATCCTGGGCCTCCTGCAGTGCCACAACGATGTCACCCGAAGGTTGCAGGAACAGCATCTCATATTTCGCTTGGGAACCCTGCAGCCCAATGGTATCAATGTGGACTTCACAAGCTTCAAAATCTCCCCTCCCCCTACCGCATCCCAAAACCAGCCCAGCTCATCCCCGCTTCCGTAACCTGTCCTCCTACCTATCCCCTCCTCCCACCTCAAGCCCCACCCCATCTCCCACCTACTAGCCTCATCGCGCCTCCTTGACCTGTCCGTCCTCCCTGGATCGACCTATCTCCTCCCTAACTCCCCAGCTACACTCACCTTTACTGGCTCCAACCCCGCCTCCTTGACCTGTCTGTCTCCTCTCCACCTATCTTCTCCTCTATCCATCTTCTGTCCGCCTCCTCCTTTCTCCCTATTTATTTCAGAACCTCCTTCCCCTCTCCATTTCTGAAGAAGGGTCTGGACCTGAAATGTCAGCTTTCCTGCTCCTCTGATGCTGCTTGGCCTGCTGTGTTCATCCAGCTCTACACCTTGTTATCTGAGATTTTCCAGCATCTGCAGTTCCTACTATCACTGAGCTAGTGCGCTGGCTTGGAGAAATTATCCAATTAGGCACTCTGGTGTTAGAGAATTCAAAATGAAATCTGATGAATAGCAGATAGTAACTTGCAATTGGTAGTTTGATATGAATAAAGCAGCCTGAGTTCACTGTAGCTTTGAAATGTTTCCCCTAAACTTGCATGCGGATGATTTTTCTTCCTTTCTAATCCAATCTAATTCTGTCCCAAATGCTGATTTGAGATTCCTGTACTCTACAGTACTATGTTCTATCAGCTAATTCAGAACAGATGAGGGAATTCTGGTCTGTATGGCTTTAAACTGCAATGGGTACTATGCTTTGTAGCCCACAGAGGCACTTAATGGGTTTTAATGTTGCAGTCTTGTGGCGCAATGGTAGTGGATCAAGAGACCCTGGATTGTAATCCCACCTGCTTCAGATGTATGTGAACATCTCTGTTCAGGTTGATTAGAAAAATAGATTAGCATTGTAGCTGGAACATATTTTGAAGGATGCTGCAGTGTAACATTTAAATTTCCACGTGGGAAGAACAAG